TTGCTGAGCCAAAAGTATACTTCTCCCTGGCTGAAAGCTGTTGGCTTTGGCGGGCTGCATCAACCTGATTCAGTCTTGACTGAAAAATATCAGCTGCAGCCACTGATTTTTATAAAAGTAACTAATTAATGTCAAAATAAAGGAACAGACATCAGCTATTACGATTTTTTTCTGCACTCCTAATGGGGTGAGAGATTTTCAAGATTAAAGCGGATGTTTTGAGTTGGCCAGCTTTTCTGCATGTCACAGAAGCATGTCGTCCAGCTTCATTACATCTGGTCATTAGTTTCATCTAGCAGCTTTTTTAAATTATTTTTATAGCCTCTCTGCTTGATTTACCAGTGGACGATAAATAAGATTAGGAGGATGTCATGCAACAAATGTCAAGAGCCACACTCAGACTCACGACATTACTCTTACATGGTATCCAATTGCTGGCTGTACCAAAGAAGGGCTGAGAAGGGCGACTTTAACAGTAACGCATAACTCATTTAATGAAAGCTGACGTTTCTTGGACGAGGGTATCGTCTTGTGGTGAGGTGCCCCCCACCCAACATCTCTTTAAATCCAGTAGCCTTATATCAACTGTACTTTTCCACTGAATAGACAGTGAGATGTGAATGAGACACTCTACTTCCTGGCTACCCACATTGGGCAGGAGGCATGCTGATGGTTAGTCATATCAGGTCAACAACCAATTTCAAGATGTAGGTTTTCACTGTGATTTGCATTTTCCATTGAACAGCCGCTCTCATGTATCTGCCTCTTGCATGGTCAGGCATTGATTATGCCCGGCAGTGTTCAAGCTTAGCCAGTTCTTGTACATCTAAAAGACAGAAAGTGAATGGTTATTTCAGTTTATTTTTATTTCATGCATCTATTAGCATTTTTTTTACATTGAGGCCACTAAACTAAAAATAAAGGTTTGAGACGCACAGTTAAAGCCCCCCTCCACTTAAAAAATGTGTTATATTCCTTGACTTTCACTGTGCAGAATGATGTATGTGCAAACTCTGACACTTGTAGGTTGTTTTCACATTCATCGGCTGAAGGAGAGAGTTACAAGCATGATTTTGGGACATCACCAATTAGTTTGGAAACCAATCAAAGTCCAATTTGCAGCTTACACAAGTGTGATGATGTGGAAACTTAAAACCTCCAACTCACCTATGCAGAGAATGAAGTAATGAAGTCAGATACATCTTTCATCCATCCAGCAGTTAAACTTTTGAAAGTAAGCTAGTCTGCATAAAGATTTCTGTTTTAATCAGGGGAAGGTAGTTTGTTCAACTTCTAATGTTGAAAATATATATGAAATAAATAACCATATTATTTGCTAAAATTACTGAAATCAGTGGGCCTATATATGGGACAGGCCTTTAATTCCTTTCACGCAAAACTGTTGCTCAGCAAAGATGGGAATATATAACTAAACTGTTTATTTAAATCAGTAGGAATTTTACTTGTACAAAAAAATTGGGATTTAGACAACATATTAATTATAAATCATTCATTTGATCCAACTCCGACTGACACTGCATCAGAGAGAGTGTCACAGCACTCAAGGATTACAGCACCCAGCATACCAACACCACACCACTTTATCCTATTAAAACATTTCTCACAACTTGGATTAATCTTCACGGAAATCCCCTTTGATTCTTTTGACCTGAGGACACTTATGGACTCAAAAAATATGAATAACTTACAGGGTAACTGAGGAATGGACGCATAATTTGAGGTAGCCAACAACCCGGTTTTATACATCTGATGAACTTCTATAAAAAAATGAACTGTTTGGAAACCAGACAGGCGTCTAATTGAGACAGGCATTTAAAGGGGAAGTGAAAGGGACAGGGCATTTAATTGGGACTAGGCTTTTAATCAAAGTTTTACAGTATTACTCAAAGCAGGTTATTTTTATATATTGTAAGGCATGAAGGGGCAGATCTTTGGTACCATATTTTTACTTGATAGTGATGAAATCAGTACTTGCGCTACTTGATACGACACAAATGATCCTCTGTTTCCAACAGCTCTACTTCATATAACAGACTATACAACAGTAGATAAACTGTAAATCTTAAAATGAAAGATAATGCACTGTTACTTTTAAATGCATATATTCACCATCTATGCATTTTCTGTCCTCCAACCTTCTGTACTAATGGTTCTTTATTTGGGAGACTGCATCATTGGGACGATTCAAGAATGTAACCCAACTAGAATGAACTAAATGTAAATGGTTTCAACAAAGAAAACCAACCCAGGAAATGCTTCATGTGCTATCAGCATTGAGCTTGACTAAATAAAATCATTACTTCTGGTTAATCTAAACCAGTCTAACTAACACATGTGCAAACTGTGTGTGATACTTCTTACTCGGTTCAGCTAACAGTGCTTCATCACTCCTGAAGCTACAAAGTGACTCTCACATACTACACTTACGGACATTATTCCCTTGAGCCTCTTTACACTCTTTGTCTCAGGTATTTGGACATAAAGGCCCTCCTGAGCTACTTTACTGTATGTTTGGACCTCTGCACACAGGCATGTCCTCTCTCCAAGGTTATTCGGCCGTAAAGGACATGAGGGCTAAAGCATTATGGGTTTAGTAAAAAGAGAGCTTGGAAACACTTCTCAGTAACCCTCAAAGGTGGAACGGTCATGGGACCCCATTAACTTCCTTTCAGGCGTCTCTGGGCTGCAAAGAAAAATAATCAAATGCTGTTTGGTTTGGAATGGAGATTCCATATAGATAACATATCATTTTTTTTCCAGACAAAAAAGAAAACGTGCACACAACATAAAGCCAAACACATTTGTTATTTACAGTATGTGCTATAGGGAAGTGTATTCTGTTGTTCTCATCTACAGTATGGGAGCTGTGTTCAGTGTGTCTCTATTTCCCTCTGGAGTTGGCAAGAGGAAATTGTTTGAGATATTTTTTGGGGTCAAACTGACGTAAGCATTAATATTTGTGTGACCTCAATCAGGAAAGCAAATGAGTGTAGCTCTCTCCCCATCTGCTCTATCTAGCTTTCAGATGAGAAGCAGTACTATTTTCCATGAGAGGAGAACATCTATCTAACGCAGTGTTTCCATGAACCAACTCATATCGCTGTTAATATTAACTGTGAAAAAACTGATTGATGCCCCAGTGCTTTATGCTTCATGGAAGACATTTAATGTTAGAGCCTGTTAAAGTTATTTATGTTGTAATGTCAGTGGATTTATTTTGTAGTTTTGTAGGCCACAGGGATCATTAAGTAACATCTTAACTACTTTTACACAGTGTTTAATGTCAGTTACACCTCTACCTTACTGCTACAAAAAACAGCACTGATGCTGACTACACACTCACTGGCCACTTTATTAGGTACACTTGTTCAACTGCTCGTTAACCCGAATAGCTGATTAGCCAATCGCATGGCTTGTAGACATGGTCAAAACAACTAGCTGAAGTTCAAACATGCATGCAAGCATCATAATGGTGAAGAAAGGTGATTTAATTGACTTTGAATGTGGCATGGTTGTTGGTGCTGCTGCTGATCTACTGGGATTTTCACACACATCCATCTCTAGGGTTTACAGAGGATGGTCCGAAAAAGAGAAAATCTCCAGTGAGCAGTAGTTCTCTGGGTGAAAATGCCTTGTTGATGCCAGAGGTCAGAGGAGAATGGCCAGACTGGTTCAAAATGATAGAAAGTCAACAATAACATAAATAATGACTTGTTACAACCAAGGTATGCAGAAGACCATGGGCTACAGCAGCAGAAGACCACACCAGACTACAATTTTCACAGGCTCACCCAAACTGGACAATAGAAGAGTGGAAAAACGTTGCCTGGTCTGATGAGTCTTGATTTCTGCTTTGACATTCAGATGTTAGGGTCAGAATTTGGCGTAAACAACATGAAAGCATGGATCCATCCTGCCTTGTATCAACGGTTCAGGCTGCTGGTGGTGGTGTAATGGTGTGGGGGATATTTTCTTGGCACACTTTGGGCCCCTTAGTACCAACTGAGCATGGTTTAAACACCACAGCCTACCTGAGTATTGTTGCTGACCGTGTCCATCCCTTTATGACCACAGTGTACCCATCTTCTGATGGCTACTTCCAGCAGGATAACGCACCATGTCACAAAGCTCACGGTAGACTTGCATCATGGATGTGCAGCTGACAAATCTGCAGCAACTGTGTGATACTATCATGTCAGTATGGACCATAATCTCAGAGGAATGTTTCCAGCACCTTGTTGAATCTGTGCCATGAAGAATTAAGGCAGTTCTGAAAGGCAAAACGTGGTGCAACCTGATACAAGCAAGGTGTACCTAATAAAGTGGCCGGTGACTGCTTTCATTTTGGGGTCAACTATTCCTTTAAAATCACTTTCCTCATGCACTTATACCATATCACCAGCAGAGGGCGCTGTCCAATAACACAGCATTGTTTGCCACTTGCCGGTCAGGTACAGCCCCGACACTATGGCTCCACAGTGAGCAGAGCACAGACTGTGTAACTGTGGTTATTACTCAGACTCAGTCAAAATGAAACAAGGACGTGACTTTGTTGCTCAGACAGCGGTTAGTTTTACTGGCTCTGTGACACTGTTCAATTTATGTAGAACAGCGTTTTGACAGCCTCGTGCGTTTCCTGTTACCATAAAAAGGCGAAGCAGAGAGGAGGGGAAAAACACCCGACAGAGGTCTCACTCAGTCCCTGTTCGTGGCACCGATAAACAACAGCGTTTGTTTACATCAGCATGTTGCTATATTATGGTGCCCTGACAAAAAAGTAGTTTATGCTTTAAAGGTTTATTTGGGTCAAATGACGCACATACTGAATGTACTATTAGTAATATCGGACTGAGAGCGGCACCGGTTGCTACGGGCGTTGAGTGCAGTCCGGAAGACTTGTGACCACCTCCTCGCCCACTCGTTTGAGTCATCCAGCAGAGCATAGACGATCTTTGCAGCCCGCCTGACTCCAGAGTTTCTTCGAGGAAGCACAGCTCGCATACGTCTCCATCTTCGGGTCTAGGCGTGGCTTTCAGATGGGTGTGGTTCCTTGTGCGGGGAGTTTTCCTTCTACAGTAAGTCGACTTGGTGAGTACACATAGTTAGTATATCTTGACTTAAATCTGAAGAAGTTCTCCAAGTGACATGGACATATAGTGAGGACTTGTGTGTGTTTTTGTGTCCTTTTTTAAAAGGTTGAGGTTCTGTGAGGCAGGACAGCTCTATGATCAAGGTAAGTGTCACGTGTTTCAGGAGAATTGAAGGTGAATGTCTCCTTTTTATGATTGTTACAGGTGAGTAATGACTTGACCTTTAACATGCAGGTGTGTTGAAATAATCTTTGTCCCATGTGTTTGCATTGTGAGCAGTTCATGTGTAACTCCACCTCACGAGCTTCATGTATTTATGTATGTATGTTATTAGTTGTTATGGGCATTTATTTTGCAGACTTGAAGGCCTGTGTTCTGCCATCAGAAACAGATGGATGTTAAATATTGATAGTGTTATTAGTGCTGTGTGTGTTTGGGAAAAAAGGGAAATGTGACCCTCTCATATAGCTGATAAAGTACAGTATGATTGGCCTGACCTTTCAGAGCACATTGATCCAGTAACACATAGCATGCATAGAAACTGATATCACCTTGACTTTTATGAAATGCTCTGACAAAACAACAGTTGAGGGTTGGGCTGTGAATAGTTGATGATACAGTGCCCCATATCCCTGCAAAGGTCACTGAGTGTCAGGAGCAGAATTTTGCACTGTGATTGGCCATTTATGCACAGTCCAGCTCAAAGGCTCCATTCAGCCGATGAAACGAGAAATCCAGTCAAAGGAAACCTTTATGTTAGAGTGGGCTGAGTGCTGTGTGAACAGTTGCTGTCACAGCCCGGGGGCAACATTAGCTGATATCTCAGTCTGACAGAGCTGCATGACGAAATGTGTCCTCTCGAGTGAGGTGTGAAACACGAGGAGGTGGTTTTAATATTTTAAATTGTGCAACTTTTACAGGACAATGGGTCTCGTGCAGCTGCTGAAGTCCCAGTTCTTGTCCCATCTGATAATCTGCTATGTGTTCCTGGTCAGCGGCATCATCGTCAACCTGTTGCAGATCTGTACTTTACCTCTGTGGCTGGTCAATAAGCAGCTGTTCCGCAGGATCAACATCAAACTGGGCTACTGCATCAGCAGCCGTAAGTACTGTTCTTACTCTCAGCCACACAGATGATGCTGAAGTCTGCTGTCTGTTGGTGCTGTGGTGGTTTTGCTGCGGGAGGAAGAAATCTGTCTTAACAGTGGTAACTTTGTTGCACTGATTACTAAGATTTGAATATCAGTCCTTTACATCACTTCACAGATGTTCACATGACATTGACCTCTCTACATCCTTGTGTACTAATGATCCTCAGAGCTGGTAGTTGCCCTGGATTGGTGGTCTGGGACAGAATGCACGCTCTACACAGACCCAAAGAGTTCTCAACTGTATGGAAAAGAGAACGCAATAGTGCTTCTCAATCACACATATGAGATTGACTTCCTGTGTGGCTGGAGCTTCTGTGACAAATTCGGAGTTCTTGGGGTAAGAGAAAGTATCCCAAAAATCTCCATGTTTGCCCCTTTTTTTGACCTTGAGTTTTTTTTTAAATTTCATTGCTATACCCTCCAGTTTCATGACATGTTTTAATTCTTTTTTTTCCAGAGCTCAAAAGTGTTAGCCAAGAAAGAGCTGAGTTATGTACCTGTTATTGGCTGGATGTGGTATTTCCTGGAGATAGTTTTCTGCAAGAGGAAGTGGGAGGAGGACCGAAGGACGGTGGCTCAGAGTCTTCAGAACCTAAAGGATTACCCCAAAAGTTTCTGGGTACGTTTCAGCCTGTGGTTATTATCTTGATGTTGCACAGATTTTTGGAATAATGTCATTAATGAACTCATTTCCCGGGGCTAGTTCTTGCTTTTCTGTGAAGGAACACGCTTCACACCAAAGAAACATGAGATCAGCATGCAGGTGGCTGAGAGCAAAGGTTTACCCAAACTGAAGTATCATCTTTTGCCGAGGACCAAAGGATTCTGGGTAACTGTCCAAAACCTCAGAGGGACTGGTGAGTGTTCAATCGTTGATGAAGTGTTTAAAGCAACTGTTGGTAAGATTTAGGGGGATTTAGTGGCGTCTAGCGTTGTGGAGGTAATGGAAACACAACAATTCTTATTTTTCCCAGGTGATTACACACTAAAGACAATATATTGTTATATTATATTATATTGTATCTCTACATATATCCCCCTAAATCCTATACACTGATCCTTTAAATATGGCCACCAGCAAAAATCGTACACTGTATGTGGACATCTGAGAGGGAAAGGTTGAAGGGATTTGCAAAGCAAATACACAGTTAACTGTCACTGTGTTTTGTCCCCGCGCAGCTGCAGCTGTTTATGACTCTACGCTGAACTTCAGAAACAACAACGTGCCAACCTTGCTCGGAGTTCTAAACGGGAAGAAATATCACGCAGATTTATATGTGAGGTACAAAGAAATGTTTTGCTGCATTGCACGTCCTGTTTGCTGGCATAATCGTTGTTTATCTGAGAGATCTGACTTCCCCTCCTTGCAGGAGAATCCCTCTAGAGTCGATCCCAGAGGATGAGGCAGAGTGTGCTGCTTGGCTCCACAAACTCTTTCAGGAAAAGGTAAGGCTGTGTTAACAGTAGATATTTTAGCCTATGATTTACTCACCTTATCCAGATGATGTTGAAAACTTATCCCCACTTAAACATTACACAGGGTGCATTTTGGCACCTGTCACTTTGTAGAGACTGTGCTGGCAACATGGCTTTCAAAGCGCAAACTCTGAATGTTAAGTTAAGGACTTTGGTACTGAGCTGTGTTTGCATTAATGATTCAACAGGATAGCTTTCAGGAGCACTACACACAGACAGGGCGTTTCCCCGGCCCCACAGTGAAACCTCCAAGCCACCCCTGGGCCTTGATCAACTGGCTTATCTGGGCCTGCTTGCTCATCTACCCTCTCGGCCTGCTAGTGGCCCAGCTGATCAGCTCTGGATCGATGATGACCATCTTAGCTTCTGTGGCTCTCTGCACTGCAGGTTGGTTTCATGTATTCATGTATTCAAACTCCTCCTGAAATGGGTGTAAAGATCCGTAATTTAACAAGCTCCTTTTTGTCCATAACGTTCCATTAAGCAGCAGATTTGACAACTCCAATGTAAGTCCCCCTTTTTTGGAAAGTATGATTTATCAGTCTTGGGAGCATGTCCCTAACAGCATTCAGGCATGTATGTGCTCACTCAGCGAAATTAAACATTCATCTATCTGAGTAGTTTCACTGGGATGTTAAATGGAGAAGTGAGTTCTCTAACAGCATGGGGATTCATGAGGAACACGTTAGTTTCCACAATAAATAAGCACCACGTGTTTGTGGTCGAGAGTAAAATTATACTTTTTATTTAAAGAGACCAACCCAATCTTATACATTTATTAACAAGCATCTAATTTTTTTATATTAACCTTTAAGCTTCCAGTCTCAAAGTGATAAACCAACCCGTCCCTAAATTCTGATCCTGAAAATACTTCATACTTGAGGGGGAATTTACTGTTGAAATAATCACGTCCACCCTGTCTTTGTGACTCTCTCAAATAATATTCTAAACGTACCCTTTCTGAATCTTTCCTTCACAGTTTCACTCGGAGTTCGCTGGATGATTGGCCAGACTGAGATTGAACGAGGCTCAAGCTATGGGAATAAGGAGGTTAATCTAAACAACAACTAAAGACTTCTGGCCTGCTTGGAGCTGCTTCTTTGCACTGCTACTTATCTGCGAGCTGCCAGCAGCAGACTGTGTAAATACGGGTCTGACAGCAGTGTTCCAACAAGTGCAAACCTGTTTGGAAGCACAGTGCAGACAGCATAGTCTTGTTGTTACCGCTATGCTGCAGAAGCTCAAGGTGTGTAAGATCATGACTCATGGACTGTGGTGAGCAGCTGCCTTTGGTACACCAATGATAAGAACGTGAGGCCAGATGAACTACAGCTTCACTACATTCACCTTAAATCAAAGTGCAAATATTTAAATACAGCCAAGACGGACATTTTTGCTGGTAACTCAAACTGGAATTAAAATTCAACCAAGTGTATAATGGACTACCTCTCTGATTGTAATGTAAAGCATTAATGGCATTTTCATGTTGGAAGAAAATACACATTTCACTTTTTAAAAAACATACTGGTTTATTTGTTCAAAGCAAACACAAAGAGGAGCAGAGGTGCAGAAGTAGTGGTATGACTTTGTGTTCAATCCTCAGCAAAGGCAAAGAAAAAATTACAACAACTGAGTGTCTGAGTATTAAAATATATGAAAAGCAGGAATGCTCTAAAATAGACAACATCTGACCTTGAGTACTGCAGCATGGTGCATGCCTATACTCGTGCCTTCCTCTGCAGGCTCTGATAAAAATGAGGAAAGAGTCACCACCTCAGTAGCAAGTCATTTCCGTGTGGTTTTAATAAATAGAAAGATCTACTGAACTGTTGCATAACAGAAACACTCCACACAGGAGCCACAGCTGATCCACAGTGCATCCCTTTATGACAGGAAAAACAAAGAAACAACAACTTGGGCAGTAAGCCAGTATTTCAGTCTCCTCCCTCAATCATACGAGACTCAAATCATACTTGCACCATCAGAAAAGAAAAAGCAATCCTTGCATATCCTCACATTTTGATGGTGGTGTATCGAGGATGGAGGATCTTCTGTACCTTAACATGAAGCTAGAAGGAAATGATAGGAAAAGCAGTAATACTGTTGGGATTTATTAAAGGGTAACTTCAACCTGGACCCTATTTTACCATGTGTTTCCATCCCAAATGGGAATGACAGCTTTTAGAATTGGCCCAGTCTTAAGTGAGAGGGCTTCACAACTCGCTAAACAGGATGTATTATAATCCCTCAGGGCAATCACATATCGTCAGTGAATGTCGCCCACAGTGTGTTTGTTTGTCACTGACAGGTTTAGCTTGTTCCTATAAGTGTCTGCCAACATTTGGATAGGACTCTACAGAGCAACCTTTTTGTTAGGAATAAGCCTTTTGGTTTCACTAGAAACAGCCCTGAAATTCCTCTCACCAAACAAACAGACTCAATTCAAATAAACAGTAATGTTAGCGTGTATAGAGCCAGCATACTGTCACATCTGATGAGCTGAGTTAAGGGTTTATTTCAACCAAACATGAGCTGGTGATTGTTGGAACAGTGGAAAGACGAATCAAGATGGCTGGAAATTTTGTTTTGTTCCTGGGTTTTACAATGATTAAGTCGCTGTTTGTTTAAATGGAAAGTCTTGGTTTGTATTTCAGCTATTCTGACAATCACCAACTCTAGTTTGGTTGAAATAAACCCTTAATTAGTAAACCCAAGTTAGATGTAAAAATATGCTGGCTCTATTCACGCTCTATTTAAATAGAGTCTGGTGGGTTTGGTGATGGTGAATTCAAGGTTGTTTCTGGTTGAACAAAAAGGATTTTACTCTTTTTTTAAAGAAAGTCTATCACTGTAGGGATTCTTTCCATGATGTTGTCATGAACGTATAACAGTCTGAGCCTGTCAGTGGCAAAAACAACCACTTTTAATTGACATAAACAGACAGTGCAAACATGCTCCGAGTGGTTACATTACAGCCAGTTTCGCCACTCCTAGCTGCAGCACCTCAATACTGGACCAGTATACAAAAACGTGTTCCCATTAGTCACAAAAATTTGAAAATAGGTTCCAGGTTTAAATCTACCAAATTGTAAAAACTTAAATTACATACACCAGGATCACACAAGGCCATATTTGTATTTTAAGAGACATTGGTTGGTGGCCATCCATTGGAAAAAGAGGAAAGAATAGTGATCCCTGCGGGTGCACAGATTTCAGAAGCAGAACACAATAACAGGGTGTTTACCTCCACGCCCACCCTGGGCCTTAATCAAGTGGCTGTTCAGAGGCTCTCTGCTCTGCAGGTTGGTTTCATGCATTAATGCCCAAGGTGAAGTACCAGAAACTGGTATGGAGGCCCCTTCCTTCATTAGAATTTACAAAAACAGGTCCATCAAGGTCAGTTCAACTGTCAGTTTTTAATAATCTAGGACTCTTCACAAAATGTCAAAAGCAGATGAAGCTCTGTGCTAAGAGAATGAGAAATCACCAGTCTAAGTGATAAAACTCACAACTTAGAATAGAGCTGATAAAGACAACACTCAGACCAGATTGAAAAACAAGCCTCAGACACCGTATGTGTCATGACTGGGGTGAAGCACAGCAGAGGGACATTAACAGTTATTTATAGAGGAATACACTGTGAATGCTTTCAGATATTGATGTAAGCTAGTCTTCTGGCCTGTATACAAGATTACCAGTACAAAGCGCTGATAAACTAATACCATACATAGAAAATGCTGCTACAATTAACAACCAGAAACTAGTCTTAATGTATATATATATGTAACTCCTACAATAATGGCAGAAACACATGTAACTTTAAAACCATGGAGCTTTCTGACATGATAGAAAAGGCACGAAAACCTTGCAATCGACCAAAATGTCAGGACTGACTTTCACACACTGACATACATTTTAACATGACTTGTCTAACATGTTGCAATATCTTGCACTAAATGAGATAAGTAGGCTGCAATACTCAGTGTGCAGATCTCCCCATTCTCACACCAAGTCTAAACGTTTAAATTGTAACAATACAGAAAAATATCAGGCTGATTCTTTGTTGTAAACTGAAGAATATTAAAATTGTCTAAATCATCTGAGTTAAAGTGTTGTATGAGCCTGTTTGAAGCAGCTCGGGCTGAAAGCAAGTCAAATATTCAGCAGTTTATTTTGATTTCTTAAAATTTCCCAGCAGGTTTTTTAAGGTATAGATGTCATGTGTGCATTCATTCCAAAAATACAACAAATCACATATTTTTGATTGTTAATATTTGGAATTCCTTGATGGGAAAAAATGTTTCAAGTTGTTTAGTTGATGCTGAAAAATTAAATGTATACTTTGGGCCGGTTTTATCTGGTAGGTTGTTGACTTTGGTCACTTGGGGTAAAACACTGGCTGAAACGGCACCAGCTTTGACAGCAACTCTAACCTTCCCTCTGTCAGCTCACTTACTTTATTTTGGTCCAAGGGGTTGTGCAGTGACTTTGTAACACACACGCACGCACGCACGCACGCACACACGCACACACTCACTTTTATGGGTTTTTATGTTCCAGATACTGAGTGACTGTTTGTGTTGATTGTTTCTGAGCCTGTGTCCACTTTAAAAGAACATTTTTCACCAGCTCCATATTACACAGTATTGCCACAGATGAACCCATATTATCTTCCTCAGCAAATAAAAGTCATAAACCAGTCGTTTAATCTCTTCTAGACCAAAGTGTATTAATATCTACCTGGAGCCCCTGTAATACATCTTTTCTCTCTATATCTAAATATCTGAATCTAACAGATTTTGAAAATGGGGGTTTGCTCAGGATCTGAAAACTGCAATTTTCCGAATTATTGATTGGTGTTAATTCGAATTTAGCCTCCTTACTTCATAATTCAAAATTTTACACAGTTGTGTTCATCATTCATTTTCATGATAATCAATATAATGTCTACAATATATGCCAGAGGTAAAGAGAGACCCAGCTGAGCTTGTTGAAAGCTTGTAAACAGACTCTATTCTTTTTCTGAACTGTTTGACTTAAAGAGGTCACAGAGCATCCTTGATGAACTATTGTTTTGCCAGCCAAGAGTAAACTACCCAGAGAACATTTTGGGAAACGCCCGCCTCCTCCTCCTCTCACCAGACAGAGCTAAGCTGCTGTCTGCAGTGCCTCCTCCACAAACCAAAGCAGGGATGCATTTGCTTTTGCAGGAGCAAGAATTGCAGGCATTAGATTCAAGCTAACACTGCAGTGAACTCCATCCTTTATGCTGCTGCTCTGGATGTTGCACCTGAACCCATTCAATGAACTGAAAGAATGTCATCCACATTTAGAGACTTGAAGGCTGCTCCCACATCAGCACCGGCCTTGGGCCATTACACCCAGATATATTACTCCCATAAATTGATATGGATGATGAGCTAATTATACAAGACTGTAAAACATTAGTAGATACAATTCCAACACCTAGTTAATGCAAAACCCTATTCCAAATTTAAACTGGATTTAATTTGATTTTTTTTTTTGTGATGGTTCAGCAGTAGCACCCTCAAACACCCGATATCTTTCAGGTTATGCTGTCACTACTCAATCAGTATGGTGGAGATGTACGCTTTGCCTCCTGGAACATCTGCTTAGCAAGCTGAATTGTAAACTCACACTGTATTTCAGCTGAGATTGCAACAGTTTGCATAGACTCACAATATGCAGACTGTGTGACTTTGAATTTGGTTTTATGATCTCATCTGGCAATCCAATGTTCCATTCTGTTCTCTTATCTGATTTATGGAAAGCCATTTCTTGGCTATTGTAAGTGTGCACCATGTACTGGTGATACTGATTAGGTTTCTAAAAAGTAACATGTTAGGTAACCTCTGCTAAAAAACTGAGGTCCTTAACAACCTCTGCTTAACTCATCTCCTTAGTCTTTCCTCTATGTGTTAGCAACATGTAGGAAAGGGGAGGATGAATCGTGATCTGAAACCAAAGGTCTGCTTCTGGAATAACTGCTGTAATGCACTCCTTAGTCAATCGTTACACAGTAAAGAGAGTAGAAAAGCAGTACAACTTGACCACCATAATGACTACTGGCAAATGTTTAAATAAACTTTGTACTTACGAGACCAGTCAGTGATATGAATATCTTGTGAAACAGCAGAGTGTGTTAGGGACAAATTAAAAGTTGTATGTTCATGATTGTCCCCAAAGCTCAGAACATGTAGAGTTAAGGAAAGGCTAACTAAATCTATGTAGATAACAGGTCTGAAGTAGCCAGATACTTTTTTTAAAAAGATGTATTCTGAAAGGATGCCAAGTTCGCGAGGTGCTTAGCCCACAGGTGTCACTGACCCCTTAATTACCCTGATATAAAATGAGAAATCTATGAATGACTATACGGTAACCTTAAAAACACTGCGACAAATTTTTACTCTGACAAAAACTGACAAAATTCAACTCTGTGGCAAAATTTTGACTTACAGGTTGTCACAGGCCTGCCAGACCCTTTTTTTAAGGCGAGATT